CAAGCTGGGTACTCATTTTAGTTACCTCAGAAGGATGCCAGGCTGAGTCGGCCCTGGAGCCCCTGGCTAGTTATTGAACTCACAACCTTGCGACTGTTAGTGAGTGGCTGCAGTACCAGCATTTAACCACTGCACCACCAGGCAAGGGCCTCAAAGGGGTTTACCTTGGCATCCATGCCCAGCAAGCATGGTATTGACATTTTTTTTAAGTTCAATGTATTTATGAATGTATGTATGCAGATATTTGAATATCCAAATGCTCACGAGGCTTCTGCATAGAGGTATCCCAGATATTATAATATGCAGATGTCTACATACATATGCTGATTTTTTTTTAAAAAAAAATTGACACCATGCTTGCCAGACATGGATGCCAACATAACCTCCTTTGGAATCCTTCCTGTAGTGAAAGTTGCCCACCTCCTCCCATACATACAATGAACATTTAAAAAAATGGTGACACCATGCTCTCCAGACCTAGGTAACTGCCCACCAACCTATCCTGTCCTCCAACACACACACATACACATACCGATTGCACCTCAATCCAGATTCAGGGGACAGAGCACACATTTTAAAAAGCTGGGGTTTTTCTAGAAATTGTAGAGTAAAAAGGTTTTTAAAAAGGCATTAAAACCCCTAGGTGTCTAACAGGTACCAGTACTTTCACTTCAAGACTGGAGGAATATCAGGTGTTCAAATAGGACCAGCATCAAGATAAAGACAAAATATTTTGCAAGTATGGATTCAGCCTTAGTCTGAGTTTCTTTCATATTGCTTTCTTTGTGCTTTTGGCTTCCTCTTGCACTCTCATATATAACACAAATTCATCCTGATCCAAAAGACTGTTCACATTTCTATAGTTCTGAAAAACTAGATAATTCACTGGGACCAGGAATACAGAATGCATTTCACTAGTCTAAAACAGTGGCACTGAATCTTGCTTCATTTTGAGGCTCAATGCAAGGAGCTATTATTTAAATTTAATAATAAGCTTATAAAGTTAAGCCTATGGTCTGGACCCCTAAAAACCTATTTCTTGCAAGAAATATTTCTGAAGACTTACTAAGATGCTTTTCTGAGGATAGATAAATAAATGTAATATTGATTCTTATTTTAAAAATTCCAGATTTCTTTGTACCCAGTTAAATGTGTTTTCAGCTGAAGATTCTCATTCTTTTTCTTTGACCTTGCATATTATTCATCACCATGTGTGTTGTTCTGGTCTGATATACATTGGATTTTGTTCTGCCCGGTTACATAAATGTCAAAGAATTCTCACTATTACAGTGTGTATTATTTCAGCACAAAACAATGCAATCATGTTGCAACAAGAGGCCAGCACTGTCAAAATTGCTTTGCTGAATCAATTCAAGGTCAATATGGCCCAACATTTTATTTCAACAGCAGCCTGCCAACAATAAATTACAGATGAGCAGAACAAGGACAAGAGAGGCATTATTGAGTAGTGATCTTTTCTTTGAGGACTTTCCACTCACACAAAATTTTGTTGGACCTGGAAAAATTACTTTTGAACTTCAGCTTCCTGAATCCCCTAGTCAGCGCATCCAGTGGCCTTACTGACCAGCAGATTCTGAGAATTTTAGTTGGAAAAGATAACTTCTTTGAACTCTGCATTTTGTAAGAACAAGTTCCTTTCTCCAAATCTGTATTTTCTGCATGTCCTATTGCAGACTGCAAGATGCTAGTCAGGTACATTTGCAGAAGATGTGAGTCAGGTGCATATTTTTTTTTTTAAAAAATGGTACCACTAATTCAAATTAAACTACTGTAGGGAAAGCCAAAGAGTTACACCCAAGGGAGAGGCATCCATAACATACAAAGAAAATTTAAATTCTCATTTTTGGTTTTGATTAGTGTCTGTTTTAAATAATATTATCTGTCTGCACCTTTTGTTTTTCTTATTCTTGCTTTCTCATTCTAATTAAAGGGGGGAACGCAATGAACTCAGTTAAACAGTAAGCAGGCAGAGGATGTTCACTTTTAAAATAAATCATCAACCACACCCACAAATAAATAGCTGTGTATTTATCATCATTGTAGCATCTTCATGCGCAATAAAATTCTGTGCATGTTTACTCTGAAGTAAATGGGCATCGTGTTCATCGGGCCTCACCTGAGGGAAAGGAGTGTAGAGGATTGCAGCTCAAACCTATCTTTTAATGTATCTTTAAAATGAATTGGCACACAGATTTTTCTCTCTCCTGCTTTGCTATTGACATCCGGAGGGGACATACAGAAGGAGTTTTTGAAAAAATAGTTGGTCATGATACAATGTGTGACAAGACAAATGTAGTAATGTCTGCTCATTTCTATGGAGAGCATTCCTTACATCTTTCCATTGAAAAAATGGGTCAATTAATCACATTAATTAAAAAACAGAGATGTTAGTATTTTCCCCCCATTAGCATCCTTTTCACCTCCACATAAGCAGATGTCTTCAAGTTAACCCACTCAGACCACATTCTGATCTCTTTAAAATGAGTTGGATCCAGGTTTTCTCCCACTTTCTTCCACAGCATTCCTTGAGGTGTATTGCACTTAAAATGCTTCTGCAGGTGGAATGAATGGGGACATTATTTTTTCTGATTTCATTTACTCCATACACCTCAGTGTACATCTGCCCATGTTCTGTAGCATCACCAGGCTTTCTGGCGAGGACATAAGGATATACCACCCAACATTTCACAGATGAAAATCAGGGCACATGTGGCTGAGCCACATCAGTGAGGTCAAAAGAATATAGCCAGACAACAAAAGGGCAAATGTTACTAATGAATGGCACCAAATTGTTAGTTATTTAATTTGTTATTTCCGCACAATTGCCAGGAATAGTATCACTTGTGGGTTTTCCTGCATAATCTGCCAAAATAGTTTGGTCACCTTTAGATACTGTTCATCTTGACTTGGGAGAGTAGGGTTGCCAGTTGTTGGCCTACCCTAGCCACTTAAATTTCTTGGACCAGCCTTGTGGAATTCAGTTTTTCACAGTCTGAACTGACATGGTATCTTATGAAATCCTGGTATTGGATGTTTAACAATGAGTGTTAAGAATTCTCAGAATGCTTTAGTAATGTATCTCTCCAAATACATTACTAGGTTTTCATAAGACAGTTAAAATGGAATCATAGAGCTGCAATTGCATACTGTGAAAGTATTTCTCTGTGCTAGGCTGGCCTTCTAAGGACGTTATCACATGGGGAGTTGCGGGGAGAAAGTGGAAATAAACGGGATGAGCGGAAGACTTTAATTTACGGGATTTGTTCCATTCCGCCTTGTCTGATAACTAAATTCGAATTTAAAAGGGGGTTAATTTGAACAAAAACCTGATCTTTTCAAATCCTCAAAAATCCCAAAAATGAAAAGATCAGGTTTTTGTTCGAATTAACTCCCTTTTAAATTCTAATTTAGTTATCAGACGAGGCGGAACGGGACAAATCCCATAAATTAAAGACTTCTGCTCGTGCCCATTTATTTCCACTTTCTCCCTGTGACTCCCCGTGTGATAACGTCCTAAGAGAATTGCTGGAGATTTAGAGTTGTGAAAGTATACCTACAATTTATGCTGGATAAGGTGATATGCTTCACCATTTTGGAAAAAAAGATTTGTACTCGTTAATATACGATGCTCACCCTACAAAAAATTGTGTTTCACCCAAGTACTTCTGTGCTACATACCCAATATGAAGGGTGCAAGAAAGAAAGAAACAATAAAGTTTTTATGGACAGTACAAATTGCAAAGAGCCTGATTTTGCAACCTGGAAAGAGCAAACTGGTTCTGCTACCGGCCATTGGTCTTCTGACATCTTCAGAGTTTGGAAAGTGACTTTTTTGCCCACAGAACCCAAAATTTTCTGCTAGTATGACCACTGGCTGGGGGTACTGTGAGAGTTATAGTCCAAAATGTATAGACAAAATATAAGTTTTAAATGTTTTTATGTTTTAATGTTACATTAAAAAGAGAGTATAGACAAAATGTAACAGTTTAATGTTCTGCATCTTGGTCTTGCATCTAACGTGAAAGTGACCTATATAAAGAACTGGGACCCTGATCAGTTTGAAGATGTTTGTTGGAACTTTCTTGAAGCCTTTTGAGAACTGAGGAGGAGCAAAGCACCTCTGCCTTCCACAAGTGAATTCTATGAGTGAATCCCAGTCACTCATCTCGATTATCCTCTCACAATGTCATTTTACGTTATTCCTCTTTTTGTCATCTCCCTGTTTTCCTATTAGTTTAGACATCTCTGAGATGGAAAGACCCTTAAGGGAATCCTAAACATCTATAATAAAGGGTTGAGGAAGGGAAAGCTTAAAAATTCATAACCCGAAGTTCGATGTGATAAAAAAATGACTCAAAGTTTGGAATGCAAGTTGTTTCTGGTATTGTTACATTTCAGATAATACAAAATGTGAATTTCTCTGTATGAAGATCTCTTTGTATATGGAATTAGTCAGAAAGGCATGACCTATATTGAGATACTGTACAGATATTGTACTGCAAGAGTCAGGGTGGCATAGAGGTTTGAGCATTAGATTACGACTCTGGAGATCAGGATTCGATTCCCTGATAAGCCATGGAAATCCACTAGATGGTCTTGGGTGAGTCACATACTCTTAACCCCAGAAAACCCCATGATAGGTTCACCTTAGAGTCACCATAGGTAACAACGACAGAGAGAAACCAGCCTAGCTAGGATCCAGTGTCAAATGCTGTATTTAGGTTGGGGATATCCAACTGAAGGAATATATTTTAAAATTGTGTTTGAAAACTGAAGAGATAAGTGATAAATTGACCAGGAGCAGATACAGCAAATAATGGGCATCTGTGAATACTACCTCTCCGATTCTGGTGCCAACACCTTGGTAAAAGAGTGGGCTGTGTATGTGGTGGATACTGTGCTTGATCTGCATTAACATGCTATATTTACCTTAGAACAATTTACTGCCCACCACTGACTTTAATCCCATCTTGTAATAACAACAATAATCAGGGTGCTATGATTTCACAGTACAAGTGTCCATGATGACTTCCAACCACCCACACCATGGTTCTCAGCCATCTTCTTGTCCAAAGAACAGAGTGACCAGATCTCATAACTGCAAAGGAGGACAAAGCACTGGAAAATGTAGAGCAGTCGGGGGTGGGGGTGGGGGGGAAGCCAGACATAACCAAAGAAAAGCTAAAAACACCAACACCAATATCAGTCATACTTTATTACAGTCCATAGACCCAAATATTTAGGCATTCAACATCAATATAAATCCATGAGTCATGCTCAAAATGGAGGACATTTTAGAATTCCTCTTGGAGAAGAATGGATTCACACTCAAGCTATCACTCAATGGAGGAGTCTGGTCTTGTCTTGTCCATGATGACCTTCATGTTCTCAACCATCTGCTTGTCCAAAGAACAGGGTGACCAGATATCTTAACTGCAATGAAGGACAAAGCACTGCAAATTGTAGGCCATTCAAGAAAAAAAAAAAAGCTGGACATGATCAAAGAAATGCTAAAAACACCAACATCAGTCAGTCAGTTTATTATGGTCCATTGACCTTAAAATGTATTCAGGCTCAAAATGGAGGACATTTTGGAATTCCTCCTGGAGAAGAAGATTGAAATGTAGGACATGGGGAAAAAAGAGGATGCCTGGACACCATGTCAAAGACGGGTTATCACACGGGGAACAATTAGAAGTATAAACAGTGATTAACCTGTGATAATCCCACAATTGGGCTAATGGTTTTCACACGACATCATGTTCAAAGTGCTATTATCCCATGAATAACCCATGATAATCCCGCAATTGTGCTAATGGTTTTCACATGACATCAAAATGAAACACGTTTGAAGTGCCATTATCCCATGAATAACCAGGCAAGAAACAGTAGCAAATCATTCACGGGATTTTCCCATGAAGAATGGAGTTTATCACATGAGAGGAAATTAGGAATGTAAACATTAATTAGCCTATGAAAATTGCACAATTGACATTAAAACACAATTAAAATGAGATTAACACAAGAGCCATTATCCCGTGAATAACCAGGCAATAAAGAGCAAAAAGTCATTCATGATTTCCCATGAATGAGTTCCTGTAGTTTCTTGTCTGGTTATTCATGGGATAATGGTACTTCAATCACATTTCGTCTCAACGTCATGTGAAAACCATTCGCGCAATTGTGGGATTATCACAGGTTAATCATCGTTTATACTTCCAGTTGTCCCTCGTGTGATCAACTCTAATTTATTGCCTGTTTATTGCCTGTTTATTCTCTGGTTATTCACAGAATAATGGCTCTTGTGTAGGAATTTATCACATGAAACGGACCCTGCACAGAAACTGGGAAAAAACCTACAAAAGTGGGTAGTTTTTCAGGTGTTTGGGATTAACCCAAACAGAAAGTTAAAAAACAAACACAACCCTGCAAAAGCAGGTTATTTTTTCAGATGTTAATTAGAATTAAGGCAACATTAACCCAAATGGAAACTAGACAAAACCAGCTCCTTTTTACTTTCGGAAAATCCTACTTCCTGTTCGGGTTGTCACATTAACCCATGGTGTGTGGAAAAACTACCCGCTTTTGCAGGTCTTCCCCCTGGGTTTTAAATCCGGTTTCTGCACGGGATTTTTACAGTTTGCCCCTGTGTGATAAACGTTCATTTTAAACGCGTTTTAGTGTCACTTGTTCAATTTTGATGGGTTGACTACTGTTTAAACTCCCAGTTTCCTTCCGTGTGGTAAACTAGCATAGGCTTTTAATAAGCTTCACTGTGGACCTTATCACACGGGGTCTAAAGCAGACCTAATCCAAAG